CGCTGACTGAAGATGTCAAATTGTGCGCTTTTACTCCATCTGCACTCTGTAGTTGAGTGGAACAAGGCACGGAGTGTCGCCGAGCTCGAGCTCGGTTTCAAACCAGAGACCTGATCTGCAAGTTTGCGCCTTAACCATTAGGCATTTTCGAGTTCAGAATATGCGTTCGAACCATTTTAAAAAGCACTACCTGAGGGGAACTTCAAGAGAGCTGTTTTTGTCTGCGCTGCAAAACGTTCGAATGACTACATTTGAAAATATTGGAGTAGGGCACCATTATCTGTGTAGATCTGTCCTTCGAACTACCAGCACGCCCGTTGACAAACGGATTTTAGCCTTTCCGGCTAAAAGTTAATTGCATGTTCTCCACGCATCGGTTGTATCCCACATCCTTTAAGATTCCCGACCCTGTGGAAACCAAACCGCGTGGATCTTAGGCAGGAAGGCGCGAAGACCGCACGGTGCTCCACTTAACTGGGACCATTACCGACTGTACAGTATTCAACACTGATACAACGCCTTTTTGAGGGAGAAAAGTTGAAATGGAAGGGACTTAGTGCTAGCCTACCAAAATCGTTCTGAGCTGCCTACATCTCCAGACACTCATTCAGGTGACTTAGATAGATAATGTCAAGCACGTCACCGACATCCATGTTTACCAGCGTTTCCTATTAGGCATAGTCGAGATCTGACCTCACTCCGAGCCTTGCAGATTTTTTGATTTGGCCTTATCCACCACACTAAAGTCGGAAATACTACAACTTCCAAGATAGATAGAATCACTCAACTTCCAGTCCCTCTTCTTGGATTGTATGTGTTGCGGTCCGTGACTGCAGGTCTAGAATCACGACTTCACATTTTATGGGTGCAAAGCGCACGCTAAAGGATGAGAGTGAGGACGATCTCGCCTGCATATTCCAGACAGACAAGGATTCCGTCAAAGTTGTTTGAACACTAGACTATAAGGACTTTCTAGCTTTCGTCTCATTATCTCCTCGATCATGAAATTAGAGAGGTGTTGATGAGTGAGCATCCAATCCGTGCCACTTTATGTATGAAGCCTTTTGGAGGGCTCTGCGTATGCCCACGGGATACATATATGTACCCCTTTTTTCGGACTAAGTACACCTCATTTGATAGAAAGGCGAGCTGTTCGCTGTCGTCTCAGGTAACACACGTAATGCATGCATTCTATCGGAGCGTGACTTGTTCCCGCCTTCGATTCATTCGTTATTGATCGTACGAATCCGCTTTACGCTGGTATAACTGCTGGAGATGGGATCACTTCTCGATTTGGAAAGGTCAGGGCAGCTTTTGCCAACCTCCGACACCTATGGCGTCGACGTGACGTGAGCTTGTCCGTCAAGGGAAGAGTTAACACTGCGGTGATGTGATCCATACTGCTTTATGGATCAGAGACGTGGCACCTACGCGCAGAGGACATACGGAAGATGTCAGTGTTTGATCATCGGTGTCTCCGCATCATTGGTCAGGTCTGGTGGGAACATCGGATTAGTGATGCTGAGGTACGCCAGATAGTTTTAGGAAGAAGGAACTCTCCCGCGATGGATGAATTACTCTCGCTTCATAGGCTGCGCTGGTCGGGACATGTGCTTCGAAGGCCAGAAGACCGTCTGGCTCACAGAGCTCTTTTTCCCAGCCCTTTGCTGAGCGGAAGTGGCCGAGAGTTGACAGTGTATGACCTGGCAACTTAGTACGAAAAAACTAACCAGTAAGCTTAGTAGGTTGGCAACTGCCGCCTCCCTGGATTGGGGCCCCAGGATTCACATCACCAGTAGTTAATGACATTTGCGGAAATGGCCCAATCGAGCACTCAGTGGCGCTTATGCCTTAAAGCTATCGCCTTCGGTGCCTAGCCACCCAGTTTCTGAAGAAACTGGACATGCTTTCGCCTCCCAGGCTTGATTGGATACTCTAGTTTCCCGTTTTCCGGTGAATGAAACTGTAGAAGCCAGGACCAGTGTGCCTATGGCACACGGTTTACGTCTACTAAAGTGAATAGTATTGAACTCGACGCATTATTTAACGCCTAGTGAGTGTTGATGAAGACCGGAAAGTTGAGTTGACTGGGAAGGCCAATGGAATGGAAGCTCCGATAAGTGCAGTTGTGTGTGGCTTGTTCGACTGGTACTCAAAAGCCCCTTGTCAGCGAAACTACGGAGAAGCAAAGTAGCTTTCTGATATCCAACCATGGAAGTCGTTTGGAAATTCGGACTTCGAATAACATTTCAGTTAACTACTAGCTTCCCCATTATGGGAGCCCCCTCAGCTTCAGACGTGTCCGTGTGTGAACCTCAACTTGAGCGTCACCGTGCTTCTGGTCTTGCGACCTTCCAGCATCTCTGTTAAAGGATGGTGGGGAATTCCCCAGCCAGTGTTTGTCTTGTGCATTTTCGTCATTCTTCGAGAGAGAGGCTAACATAGACAACTCCGATGAGTCGATAATAGTGCCTGTTTTAAAAAACAGCACTCGAGGTGAGTGTATTTACCGGCCGTATTCAGCATTACCAGCACACCCCCTTTTAACGTTCCAAGTGAGGTAGGCTGTTCTTATTCTGACCTACAACACCATTTCCTCTCACCATTGTTGTGGACTGTTCTCACAGACCAGCCTTATCAGACCTAATTTCCATGTTTCCTTTCCATGTCAAATAATTTCAGTTCTACCCAAAAGCATTTTTGAAAACTGAATCATGGGACGCGAACGTGATACGAGAAAGCAAAAATGTTCCAGAGTTCATAGTCTTTTACTAAAGCCTGAGAAGATTGTTTCCTTTCTGATGGAGATTTGCTGAATACTCTTCTCTTCCTGCTTCGAGACTTCACTCAACCAGCATGGGGAATATTCTTGTGCATTTGTGTCCGGCGACTACCTTGAAGATCTCTGCAAGAGCCAAATCGTATCGCAGGGTAAATCGACGTCAATCTGATACTTCTCATCTGTGCACGGTCGAAGCCATATCAGAGGAGCATATACCGCATTCTCTAAGCCCTACTGTCCCAGCCGTGCCGGATTCGCCAAATACATCGGCTCCAGAGTTGAGCTACCAACGTGTCCCAGTTCAGGAGTCGAAGGTGATAACGAAATACGTGAACTTCCCGTTTCTCACGAACGATGAAATTGCCAGGTGGATAGTAAGTACCCGGTTTATGTTCATCCTTCGTGGTCCTCCTGGTTCCGGAAAGTCCTACATCGCTGAGTGCATCCGTCTGCGCTTTCCTAGCACTGTGGTACGTCCTGCTTTCGTTACTTACTCTTTCTGTTTATAATTCACGCATGAATACTGATGTTCAGGTTGGTAAGAGGTATTTCGTTGTTCTTAAAGTTGAATGTTGGTTTTTCCTATGCGTAGTATCATCCTAGGAAACCATTTTAGCGGGATGAGAAGTACTTGTTGTGAGATACCCCCACTGAGCAGTCCTATTTGGCATGGCTCCTTAGTAGCAGCTACATATGCGAGCGCCCAAAATAATATTGTAACTTTGTAACAGGTTTTTTGACCTGTTGGCAAACCTCAAGTTAAAGTCGGTGGTGTAATCAGATTGTGTAGGAAGTGCTAAAGGTATCATCTATTTTTATGACAGTCAACTTAAGAATCCGGGCAAATGGCAAAGTATACTGTTGTTGTTGCTTCTCGTTCGGGAAAATAATTTCTCCCATAACGGGACCATTTTATCTTTCGGCCTAGGGTGTGGGGGATGTTACGAAGATATGGTGTGGTTGTGTTGGCTAATGCAGTAGGCATATATCTGTCATCGGTAAATTTGTTAATTGCAATTTAGGAGACTGTATGTCTTTCCGTACGCCATCCCTCCAGAATGCTGTGTTCTTCAGATTTCATGCAACTTGACCTACGGGAGTCCAGTTTGTCGTAATGGGTTTTACACCCTTACTTCATCAGATTCTAGTACGGTTCTAGGTCTGATGATGACGTACATGTTTTCAGCACCATACATACCCGGGAAAACGGACGGATGTTTATTTCTTGTGAATGTTTTGGCAGAATCTGAGCTTTTAGACATTCACCTCTGATATTTTTCTGATCCATTAATATTCACCGTATTTGATCATGCTAAGCATTGGTGAAAAAGACAATACCTTCCCATGATCTACTACCATTTTTCACCTAGTGACATGAATATTCTCAACAGTTTCTTGTTTCGCAGTAAAGAACTGCGTTCCGTGTGACGATCATTCTTCCAGACAGCATCCATTTTGTACCTATTTCGCTTTTTTCGTCCCACCCAAATGCGCCTTTGCGCCTACTGGTTGATGCGTAGGTGATAATCTCAATGTGCAGATTCCACAAAGCAAATAGCAGAGGAAACTGTCACCGGTCAGCCATTCAATTCCATCAAATATCGATGCAGCCGTATAGCATTTTGCGCTGTCCTTTGTATGAGGCACTGAGATCAGGCAAAGGAACCGTCGTACTGTCAAGTAAAGCCGAACTGTCGACGCTGCGCTATCGTACTGGCAGTAAGTGGGACTAAGGCAGCAATGATTCAAGTTTATCATAATTTGACTAATCGACCCACTGAATTATAAAACATCGTCAGTCATAAATTGAACCAAAATAACTGTCAAACTAACATTGGTTGTGGCTTGTGTTTCTCCTCGATGCTGTCAGCTGACGACGCCGAAATACCACCACCACTTTGCACATTTACGTGTTCCAACAACCATAGTCAAATGAACCCACCGGGATCGGTGAACATCGAAAATAGGTGTCCCTATATCATCATCTAAATGAAGCTCAAAGCACATGTTGTGACGGGCATCGTCTGACGTTGGCGTTAGCACTTCAGTCAGCTGATCCACATAGATAAATGGCTGATCGATTGTTCATTAAAAAGTATACCAGCCGTTTCGGGAACTATGATTCTCCGAGTTTTGTGTGCTCGAGAAGGAATCCAATAGCAATGTGTCCTGTGCACCCAAATTGTTTTCTTAATGCGAGTATTGACGTTTAGTAATCACGCTGGCTAACTGATCTGTAAGGTGGGTTTGCAACATTCACGTAATTTTTTTGGGCTGTCCTGAAAAAGAGTCATCAGACCGTGTCATGTAGTTGACTCTTCATCGGCTTCCTTCGATTCAATTGGGACTGGTAAGTATTGTGGTATTTCTGATCCGCTTGGCAATACCCATAGTTTCAGCTTAAGTAAAAAAAATTGCAAGCTGCTGGTGGTTGAATAAATTACGTCGTGTTAGGTTTCATTGAAATCTTCCTGTAGTAGCGTGTTGAGAGGTCGAGCTGTCGTGAAGAGGGAGCTCAAAGTTAATAATTTTCTTGAGGGAATGCACTATTGGACAACCTTAAGAGTAGTCTGCTCAGTCAGGCAAACATACTGCAATATCTGGAATACCGTGATTACTAGAGCATAAGCGGCCTTTGTACACCGACATCGCATCCATTTGGGGTTCAGCACGGAGCATTAACTTATCCATATAGGTTGCGTGTAGCGGTAGCGGTAGCACTTTGTTATCGTTGGCACATGTCTTTAGAACATCCGAGCTCAACGGAGTCTGTTTTTATGTCGACTGAACTTCGGTTCTTAGTCATGCTGTTTGGAGCACTGGTTGTGCATCAGTTGTGTATCCTTTTGCGTGCGGTATCCACATTTTGTCAGCTGAATCTTGGTATGATATTTCATCAACTATCAATTATATTTCCGTTCCTACCCCAATCTATCGCAGGTTTGTTCAGCAGACGAGTTTTGGTACCTCGAATCTAATGGTGCAGAATATCAGTTCGATATTTCACGCATTGCTGAAGCCCATCAATGGTGCCAAGGCAAAGCATACGATGCGGCAGAGTCTGGCGTTAGCCCTCTTGTAATCGACAACACAAACGTTCGAGCATGGGAAACGCGATACTACACCGATCTGGCCAAACGCTTTGAGTATGCTGTCATCATGGTTATACCCCAGACACCATGGAGGTTTGATACTGATGCGTTGGCCATGCGAAACGTCCATTTTGTCGGTCTTCATGCTATAGAAGCCAAAGTTCGTAACTTCGAGCACGTATTTCCGCTATACTATGGTTGGTTATGGCCAGGGAAAAGCAGTAGCTGTGGTAAACGACGCAATGGATCGTCAGCAGCGTCCGACCTAACGAAGGCCAATTCCTGGCCCTTGGAGGAAACACAAGAACTACTGAATTGGGCTTGGAATTCTCTTATCACTATTGTTGGTCTACCAGACGTACGTGTACACTTAGCCTCGGCCTTGGGCCTCTCTGACAGTAAGTTCTCGATGTGGTCCAATTTGGGTCTTGGGCTCTCCCGACATGTCGGTCATTCGACAAGTCCTTGCCAATTCCATGTTTTAGTCTATGTCCAGTGAACATGCAGTGTTTGTACGGTTGGAGTTATTCTCCACAGTTTCATTTAGGTCACTCCAAGAATCCGATTGAGCTCCATGAAGATTAGTTGCACCACTGAGTTTTTGGACTGACCATGCCGAATCGTTTACTTGTAGCATCCCGTCTCTGCGTAACTCTTTGTAGCCAGTGTTAAGCCTACGGACCGAATTCTCACTGCAGCCCTCCAGTCCTTCCTCCACCCCTCTCTGAAGAGTCTGCAGCCACATCCCCAGTCAGCGGTGAGCCCCGAGTTGAGACTACCCTCATTAGCGACCGGATGCCCTTAACTGTCTTTTTGGGAAAACATACCTGATTTTCCAGGGATAGGTAGTAGGCTCAAACTATGGACTCTGAGTTAATTAGTTTGCGTTTTAGCCGGTACTCTTCTTAAGCTCAATTAGCATGTAGACAAGTGGCTGGTTTTTGTCCAACTTTTTACTCTGGACACCGATTCTCCAGCAAGCTACGGAAAACGTTTCTCTTGTCTGCCTCCTTGATGCGGTCCTTGCGTTTCAGGACAGTTTGGGACCTGTGGAATCCACACAAGGTGGAAACCAAATTTTGACAAAGCCTGCTGATGACTTTAACGGATAAATTCGCAAAAACTTATGTAATGCACTGCGTGAGGTGTTAGAATAAATACTTCCTTTTTAGACGTTTCACACTACTCATAAGGTTGCTAAAAACTCTTCGATAACCCACGACCTGTTTCGGCCTTCCTGGGGCTCGTCAGGTAGGCGCAGTCCCCGAGTTTCCGTCAACCTTATGTTCTACTGGAACCCCAGTTCACGAAGTTTGACGTATATGCTTTATCTTATATGTATACCAGATTTGTTTCGACGGGTAACTCACATGGAACCCAGCTGAATCTCTCGTTAATGATGTTCTTAATCCTCTGAACGTGCTGCACCAGGCCGCCTCTTGTTTCAGGTTGTACGATATTTGAGAAGCAGACTGACTTAAACAAGGGCTTCAGCTGGATTTCAGGATGCGTAATGTTTGCATCCATGATCCACCCATCGAATGAGCGATTGTGGCCAGTCACGTGATGTCAGGTCGCTCCATCAACACCGAACTACGTAATCTACGTGATTTCTATGTTATTCGTGAGACTTGCGCTGTTCCATGGTTTTGTGTGCTTGGCCCTACGTCCACCAAGCTTGGTTAAAATGAGGACACTGAGCTCATTTTCGCAACGTACTTTTCGCGTTGGTGGACGTGATCAGGAGAACAAACACATTAATAAATTTGTTTCAATTAATAGGTGGCCCTTACAGTCCAGAAACGAAAGCGTTTGTGGCAGAACAGCACAGACAGAAAGAGCGCAGTAAAGATGAAAACCGTTTGTTTGCGTTTGGTTTGATGAGAAGAAGATTAAAAGGGATAGGAAAATGGAGCGCATAAAAGGCCTCCCATATATATGTGACAATGAGAGTCAACCATTTTGAAGCACCACCTGGTTGTGCAAAGATAATATATAAACCCGGTGAAAGTCCCTTCAAACCACAAATTTCTTCGAAAGCACCAGTTCCTTTTCAACAAAGAGTCGCCATTGTTTTGATATATTATTCGATCTGGTTGTCTTTGCGAATAACTTTGACGGCCCAGGTTCGAACCCCTACATTTTGCATATTCGAATTGGCCGTCGGCCACTATCTTGAATATTCTTTGACATGTCCAAGGAAGACATTAGAAGTTACCTTGACTTCAGGGTCATTTATGACGACAAGAAGCAGTGGTATTGCATACCCTGTTCGGAAGGAGCTTATTCTCAACGAGGCCTCCATGAGTTGAGGACTAGGAAGCTAAAACACGACCCCTTACAGTGTTAGAGTTTCATGGACGCACTCTGAACCATGAGTGACGCTTCGTCAATAGTTAATATTTTGAGATTCACGAACGTAGTACTGGTGTTGTTTGTCAGGGAGCTTAGTAGGTAGCCCAGTGGATAACATCTTTTTTAACCATTTCGGTGACCCAGGGGCTGCTAGGCACAACCTGATGATCCGTGTCTCAGAAATAAAAGCCAAACGTTGGAAACTTTTGACTTCTGTAACAGGATGTTCAGGTTCATGGAAGTTCCGACGTTGCAAGCGTATGACACGATTTGCCGCTGTCCTAATTTTGATGAGGACATCTATCAGCTTGGAGATTCGTGGCGTCGAGTAAATAACTGACTTAACAGAAAGTAAACCGATGGGCAACGGTCATTCTCTTCCCAACTCTTCTGTATGCTTAGAAGGCAACACACTGGAATCTGTTTTTATTATCGTGAATGGCTTTACTGACTTTTTTCGTCTTCCATGGCACAGTACAGTCACGCGTGTTTACTACTCTCTTCGCGAAACAATCCCAAAACTAGGTACCCCATGGGGCAGTAGAATGCATTCTGAGGTAGATGAATCTCTTCGAATGGGATAGAAGAGGAAAATGGCGTCTCCAACTTTCATCTCACTCAGCGTATTATGTGCTTCATGACGTTGAATTGGTACAGAATTGTAGCCCGGCAAACTAAAAACGGAGCGAAAACGTTTTTTCGTCACTGTACAAACCTTTAAATAATCAATGCTTTGTCGCTTCCCTGTCTTGTGGCGAACTGGGTTCGCGCATTCAAAGTGCCTACTTCCTTTTGTAGTCAGGGGTAACCTCAACTTACTTGCCTTCTGTAATGCTTCGTCCTTATACCACGAATTTTGAGTCGTTTTGTTGTTTCAGATACGAAATGCCGATTGAATCACTTGTAACATGTAACAGTTTTCATTTGTCTGCTTTCCATAAACGAATGTTTTTCACTTGTTTTCCTTCCAGCTGCTCCTATCACTGATGTTCTACGACACTGGCATTCAGCTACCCTACCCGCTTTCGGTGTTGGGTTGAAAGCCAGTCGTGCAGCTAGTGTTCCGCACATTACGGCCAAGTATGCACGTTTCGGCCGGGCGGCTGGCGCACAACAGTACGCTCTTAGCGGAGCCGTCACAGAGAGTTTGCTGGGTCGTCTGTTTACGGTGCAGGTGACCGGTTTGTTTTTTTCTCTGCGCACAGTTGGTGTTCGTATTCGATTGCCAGCCGATGATCTAGTCCTGCGCCATTTATGGGCCTCGGATGATCAAGCTGTGTTGTCCACAGATCGAACGGAATTCGCAGGTACGATTTGCTTGCGTTACGACTAAAACTTCTACCCTTCAAACTTTACATTGGTCAATAGTTTTGAAATGCACAGACTTTGCAAATTTCACTCCTTTCACAGGTTTTCGATGGCAACCGGTTTTTAACTGTTTTATACCGTTTCCGCTGTGCGGTATAACTTTAAACTGTTTCCACATAAAACTGATCCAGCTTTACGAATATTTATGAGTTGATGCGACACTGGTATCGGCGAATGTAAACTAAAGTGGTTCTAAGAAAAAAACATTCCCTTCAATCGGGTCCTGACAATCGTACTATCGGATTATTGGTGATTGCGACCTCTTGGCCATGGAGTGTTAGGCCGTCACAATAAATGGTCTTTTGATTCTTCATCCCCAGAACATGTGCGCAAATTTTCAGGACAGCAAATAGATACCAATTCGCGCTTGTCATTGAAAATCAAAGCCCGTTGTTTCAGCTGATATACCATTGCTTGGTCGCATATGGGGTCCCAGTTGACTGTAACTAACGTACCTCACCACCACTGTGCCAGCTGGTATGTCATAGTTTCATAACTCATCATTTGACCCGAGTGTTTGCCTGCACCAGCCATTAGAGTGTCTGCAACAATAGCAGTATGAGTATAATCCATGCCTGGTGGTGCCCCCGAGTGCTCCTCGAGGAGCATATCCCAACTGAGGCTCTAAGTATTCTTTTTGGAGATATTTCGTTATTGCGAGGCAACCGGGAAACGTTAATCTCGTTTACCGAGTTTGGGGAACCAGTTTCTTGGCTAGCATAGTATCTGTGGGTGTACAGAACTGAGTAAAATGGAACAAATTCAATTGTTCACTAAACAAAAGCTTCCGAAATGCGCGATTATAACGGGCTGCCTCAGAAACATGGGAAAAGGCCTCTAGCAAAGCGCAGTTTATTTGAAAACAAAGCTCTCTCGGTGTTGCCACGCTCACGTAGCACTCGCTCAGATACGTCTTTCCTCTTGGTTTAGTTTTCGTTGCCGAGTGAAGCCCATCACAGCCCTTGGAGTTGTTGCTGGGTTTGTTTGGTAAGCTGAACAATAGGGTTGAAAATGAGTGAATAATCAGTTGGCTGTGGTGCACAGCTGCTACACAACAAGAAAAAAGCTGAAGAGCAGAAATACTGTCAGGTTGCCCAAGCCTGGATAATAGAACTCGAGATGCCATGGTTGGGTCCGAACCACATACCCCTCATTAAATATCTTCCCACCTTAACATCATCATCTTCAAAGACAGCAACACCAGTGTTGACAGTGATGCTTCACCTTAACAGTTGGGTTATCTCGAACCCTGGTAATTTCTGAGACCCAAACAATCTTACTCAAATACGATTTTCTCAAGTTAGTTTTCGGCTGACGATCCCCCATGTAGTATCTCTTTCAACAGAAATAAAGACTGAGTGAAACCGTCTATTGATTTGAGAATTTCCTTCTGGAGTAATCCTCTATGGGGAAAAGTCGTTGTGTTTTGTTTCTACCAACTGATTGTTGCCTTCGTATTTTAACGAACTCAATAAAATCCTAGACAATACGACATGCCTATCAATTGTTATTTTCTCCGTGATTCAAAGGGACCAGTTAATTTCTGGTTCTATTACCCAGTTTTCTTCCCATTTTTCAGATCTCCCTGATATCATGATGAACAGTGAGCATGTTGAACAAACCAATCGCCCTCTTGGGTGTCGAGCACATGTCACCTTGGCCTTAGCCTCGGATGTGTCGGCTGTGGAAACTGGACTCGACTTACTTCGTATAGTTGATTCCGAACTAGCTCGCCGACCTGGTGAACACGTTGCTATCGTGCCCGGTGGATCTGTGCGTCGTGTCACTGTCAAAAAAACCTTCGTCTCACCGTCATCAAGGGGTCAGACTCCACAGTTTACCACTGCACCATTGGGTCACGAGTATATGTACGTGTATGATTTGGACGAACCTCAACATCATCGGGTTCTGTTCGCTGGTGCCTACTAAGATTGAGGCTCTGCGACAGAAGCGTGTCAATGGACAGTCCTTTGTCTGCACCCGGTGTTTATCCATCGACCTCTTTGCATTTGGCTGGATTTCCTACTGATATATGTTTTGATACAGTGTATCAGTTTCCTATTGCTGACCACTGTTATCTCCCCAGGACGTCAAAATTCCCTAACACAGCCTCACTTGCAACCATTCCGTCATTGGCTAAGGATTTAACTTGTCACCACTCGTATACTTCGTTTTTTTCCAAACAGATTGGACTTGGGTTTTTCACAGTTCTGTTGATAGCTGTCATCTTCTCTGCCACTTGTGAATAGCCTCACAGAATAATCCTTATTCTTTCGAAGTTTGGTTGCAAAAATCAGTGTTCCCCACTCAAGTTTGTTTTGTCTCCCATGAACAATTACTAACATCCAGTACATGACAACATGTTGCTAGCCGTGTCTGCACTAGTGAATCATTGCCATCTGTGCGTTTTATCATTAATTGACTCTTTTCACAGAATACTGGCCGTGACAGACTGTACAATCGTTTTTCTTTGGGAAGGATAGGTCGCACTCTGCCTACCATTGGATCGCTGCTATATTACTCAAAACTGTTGAGTCCGGCGCTGCCCTAAAAGTACCTAATGTGCGCAGTAACATCGGAAAGCAGACTTCTATACCTCACCCTTTGCGTCCTCGAGTCGAGCCAGCCCTCGCTATCATGAGCTAGACCTTTAGGTATAAGGTTTCTGTTTCATTCGAGTGGCACTCCACGTCCACAAGAAGGAAGATGCATTTGCGATGGGAACCTGGAGCGTGGAGGTCTTCCTAAACAATGGAAATCTAATGTTTAGTTTCATTAAGGGGACACTTAGGGTTCTCAACCACAGTCTTTGTCTCAAAAGCCTGACCACAGGGCTTTGGGTGGGTGCCGGCGTACAGTAGTGCAAGTTTTATAAGGAACAAGTCACGTGCCTGTTCTAGCTCCTAGTCTGGCAGACCAGGAAACTGTCAGATCTCCAACAATTGACCAACCGGGTAAGAAAGGTTCTGTGGGTAAAGTGAAAATGAAATCCTTCAATTTAGCTTAGTGGGTTATAGAGTTATGCGAACCGCCACACCGCAATAAGGTGCAGCCCCTGCAGCGTCTAAATTGGCATTATTTTGAGGGAAGTCTCACTAGTGACGGACTGTTACGGTTCGGTCACGCAGCGAGCAAACAATGTGATATGCGCATTGCGGCAATACTCTATCCCCAGCTATGTTGCTTGATCCAGACTTCTAGCAAGGCGGATAGTGAGAAGACGAAAAACCTCGGACACAAACTTTAATGATCCAACAACACGCGATCAACAGGCGATCATGGGAAAAAATGACAATGCATATATATATTCAGTTTGACCTTGAAGATGCCGGAAGTTCGCTAGCACATAAAAATACAGTCTTTTGGGGATATTGATATCCCCAACATGGACCACTATTTATCGAATGTGCGAGCAAATAAAACTATACGTGCCTCAAATTTGGGTAATAATACTGTGAACCAATCACTCAGAGACACGAATTTCGCGTTTTGGTCTTTGCTGGCAGGGCGTCATAGGCTTATTTGAGGTGGCTTTTGTTTAGAGCTTGGGTCTTGTCTCCCAAAAATATCATTTCAAAGCCAAAGCCCACATGATACCGGCGGTAGTTGTCCTTCTTCGGAAAAGAGATCATTGTGCATCGGTTGCACTTTCCTTACAGAGGCCTGATTGACAATGAGTGTGGCAGAATGTAGGGCAATATCACAACCTCAGATCATCCAAGATCTACGAAACACCAGGTCACTTAGCATCAACTGCATAGTAGTGGATCAACCCAAATACTTCACTTGACAGAGTCGTGGGACCATCCATGTTTGTTAATAAGGGTTGGAATGAAGCGATCTTTAGTCCGTCGGTCCTGCGTTCTACCAAAGAGCCATAACCGTTATTTATAGGGATAAGTTTTGAGGTAGCTGAATGGAAGTTATAAAAACGAGATGAACGCCACAGACATATGGGACCGATGTATGCCTTCGTTCCATCGAGGTAACTTCCAGCGATACGATCCTGCTAGTTCAACAATAAGTCGTCTTTAGTTTTGTCCGGGTGGTTTGTCTGATGTGTGCCTATTTCCGTTTCGAAGCAATAGCCTACTCAATTTTGGCGCTTCCCACATTTTACAACGTCATGTACTCGGTGTTGTAGTGTGACGCAGAGACTCAGTTGATTCCGATTTAGGTCACATCTTGGTAGTTAAGTTCATCCATTTACCCGAACCGAATTTCTTCTCTGCAGAATCCATGCCACTGCTTCATCATTTGGCATGGAAATAAAATCCAAACAAAGGAAGCAGCATTTGTGTCCATTTTGAGAATACTTGTTTGAACTACCTTCTTGCTCGTTAGAGAAGTGGCGGAACCGGAAACCAACGCCATAAAAGCCGCCTTAGCTTTCACCCAAAAACTGAAGAACCCAAAATTGAGTTAAGAATCGACTTTCCGATTATGTACAGTCTACGCATCCCATACGGAGAAACTGAAATGATGAGACCCATCCGGAGGATTTCCTGCAAAGTATGCTATAAGAACGGTGAATGTAGAAATTTATCTGCTTCCTCCACAAACCACCAGAAGTATCAGTGCAAATCAACTGAACACGCGTGCAATTTTGACACAGCTGATAGAAGAAAGTGTGGTATTCGAGGTCAAACAGTGTTCGATGGGGTAACAGGTTAGGTGCTTGTGTTACCCAAATCGTCAGTCAAGGTGGCCTGGATGACTGGATTTCCCCCAACATATTCTGATAATACGACATGCCTATCAATTGTTATTTTCTCCGTGATTCAAAGGGACCAGTTAATTTCTGGTTCTATTACCCAGTTTTCTTCCCATTTTTCAGATCTCCCTGATATCATGATGAACAGTGAGCATGTTGAACAAACCAATCGCCCTCTTGGGTGTCGAGCACATGTCACCTTGGCCTTAGCCTCGGATGTGTCGGCTGTGGAAACTGGACTCGACTTACTTCGTATAGTTGATTCCGAACTAGCTCGCCGACCTGGTGAACACGTTGCTATCGTGCCCGGTGGATCTGTGCGTCGTGTAACTGTCAAAAAACCTTCCGTCTCACCGTCATCAAGGGGTCAGACTCCACAGTTTACCACTGCACCATTGGGTCACGAGTATATGTACGTGTATGATTTGGACGAACCTCAACATCATCGGGTTCTGTTCGCTGGTGCCTACTAAGATTGAGGCTCTGCGACAGAAGCGTGTCAATGGACAGTCCTTTGTCTGCACCCGGTGTTTATCCATCGACCTCTTTGCATTTGGCTGGATTTCCTACTGATATATGTTTTGATACAGTGTATCAGTTTCCTATTGCTGACCACTGTTATCTCCCCAGGACGTCAAAATTCCCTAACACAGCCTCACTTGCAACCATTCCGTCATTGGCTAAGGATTTAACTTGTCACCACTCGTATACTTCGTTTTTTTCCAAACAGATTGGACTTGGGTTTTTCACAGTTCTGTTGATAGCTGTCATCTTCTCTGCCACTTGTGAATAGCCTCACAGAATAATCCTTATTCTTTCGAAGTTTGGTTGCAAAAATCAGTGTTCCCCACTCAAGTTTGTTTTGTCTCCCATGAACAATTACTAACATCCAGTACATGACAACATGTTGCTAGCCGTGTCTGCACTAGTGAATCATTGCCATCTGTGCGTTTTATCATTAATTGACTCTTTTCACAGAATACTGGCCGTGACAGACTGTACAATCGTTTTTCTTTGGGAAGGATAGGTCGCACTCTGCCTACCATTGGATCGCTGCTATATTACTCAAAACTGTTGAGTCCGGCGCTGCCCTAAAAGTACCTAATGTGCGCAGTAACATCGGAAAGCAGACTTCTATACCTCACCCTTTGCGTCCTCGAGTCGAGCCAGCCCTCGCTATCATGAGCTAGACCTTTAGGTATAAGGTTTCTGTTTCATTCGAGTGGCACTCCACGTCCACAAGAAGGAAGATGCATTTGCGATGGGAACCTGGAGCGTGGAGGTCTTCCTAAACAATGGAAATCTAATGTTTAGTTTCATTAAGGGGACACTTAGGGTTCTCAACCACAGTCTTTGTCTCAAAAGCCTGACCACAGGGCTTTGGGTGGGTGCCGGCGTACAGTAGTGCAAGTTTTATAAGGAACAAGTCACGTGCCTGTTCTAGCTCCTAGTCTGGCAGACCAGGAAACTGTCAGATCTCCAACAATTGACCAACCGGGTAAGAAAGGTTCTGTGGGTAAAGTGAAAATGAAATCCTTCAATTTAGCTTAGTGGGTTATAGAGTTATGCGAACCGCCACACCGCAATAAGGTGCAGCCCCTGCAGCGTCTAAATTGGCATTATTTTGAGGGAAGTCTCACTAGTGACGGACTGTTACGGTTCGGTCACGCAGCGAGCAAACAATGTGATATGCGCATTGCGGCAATACTCTATCCCCAGCTATGTTGCTTGATCCAGACTTCTAGCAAGGCGGATAGTGAGAAGACGAAAAACCTCGGACACAAACTTTAATGATCCAACAACACGCGATCAACAGGCGATCATGGGAAAAAATGACAATGCATATATATATTCAGTTTGACCTTGAAGATGCCGGAAGTTCGCTAGCACATAAAAATACAGTCTTTTGGGGATATTGATATCCCCAACATGGACCACTATTTATCGAATGTGCGAGCAAATAAAACTATACGTACCTCAAATTTGGGTAATAATACTGTGAACCAATCACTCAGAGACACGAATTTCGCGTTTTGGTCTTTGCTGGCAGGGCGTCATAGGCTTATTTGAGGTGGCTTTTGTTTAGAGCTTGGGTCTTGTCTCCCAAAAATATCATTTCAAAGCCAAAGCCCACATGATACCGGCGGTAGTTGTCCTTCTTCGGAAAAGAGATCATTGTGCATCGGTTGCACTTTCCTTACAGAGGCCTGATTGA